AAAAAAAAAAAAAAAAACTGTATAGCTACCGTTTTTTCTCTCTCTTCTCACTCGTATCGTTTTTTTTTTATTCCTCCTCCCTCTTCTTCTTCTTCTTCTTCAACAACCTAACAATAAAAATAGCAACAAAGAAAAAAAGATTAATCAAATAGTTATATACATAAATAAAAATTAAATTAATCAAAATCAATAGAAAGATTTATTAAATTAAATTTTTAAAATAATAATAAAATAGAATATATATATATTAATATATATATATATAGATAAATTATATTCATAGAAAAATAATATGAATGCAAAGAACTCAATAAAATTAACTTTACACAAAAAAATATGAAAACAACAAAAAAATAACATAACAAAAACATGAAAGCAACTGTTCAGCAACATGAAAACAACTTTAGTCCATAACAATTCGGACAATAACTCATTTGAAGATATTTAAAAACTGTAAGTATGTAACTTTCAACTGGCAATATTTTTCAAATAAACGGTGGTTTATTATGACATGAAGACCACACCCACCCTGAGCTCTTCTCTTCTCCCACTATTCATCCAATTTTCAAATTCCATAACGAGACCATCACAGAGGAATTACCATGAAAAGAGTTGCGTACCCAAGATTTAAACGGCAATTCCGACTGGTTGTCCAATAATGACGTGGGAAGCGGTTGTGGACTAATGGCAGCCGTCGAATGGAAGGTGATGGCGAATAGATCAGAATTGATATATATATATATATATATAATGGAAGGAAACTGAGAATAAATTACTGAGATTGCAACCCATACACGAAATTGGAATCAATTGAAATAAAGCATAAAAAATGAAATAGATCTAATGAAATCAAAGCATATATAAATATGAGCACATGGAGAAAAATCGACCAAACAGAGAAAACGTAAAAATAAGAGATAAAAGGGGGTAGAAGAAGAAGAAAAGGGGAAGAACAAAAAAAGAGAAGAATTGAGAAAAATTGGCCAAAAAAGCATAAACATAAAAAGGAGATATAAGAGGTGAGAGAATGAGAAGAAAAGGGGAAGAAGAAAGAGAGAAGAAACGTGTAGAAGAAAAGAAAAGAGAGAGAAAAAAATAAAGATAAAGATAAACGGTTAATTTGAAAAAGGAGTAAATATGAAAATACAAAGGAGTAATGCTGTCTAAATAGTGAACAAGCCCTGTATTGTAAAATGTTTAAGTATATAGTCAAGGGCGTCATTTTTTCTAGTATTATCCCAAACCTACAGCCAGAAAAATTAGGATACATCCTTATAAACTTCGCCCAATATATTTGGACCTTTTTCGTGCCGTAGGCGAAAAATTGGTAAGCAATCTTTGATGGAAAAGGAAGTCGGAAAGCTGCACAAGAGTTCCCACTTGTGGGTGCTGAGGGACTACTCTCGCCACAGAGCACGGCTGGGCGTCGGCCAGGCCGTCAAGAGCGGTGAATTCACGGCGGCAGGCCACCGGTGGGAGATCGTTTTCTATCCCAACGGCGCACACCCAGAAACCCAGCGGCAAGGCTACGCGTCCTTATACTTGACCCTCAGGAGCGGCGGCCGCGTCCAGTGTTTGCACGGATTGTACTTGTTGAATGCCAACGGCGGCCATAGGGGTATCGGCTTGTTCAAGTCTTGCTCTGGGATCGCGTGCCTCGGGCCCGGAGAGCTGTCTGGCCAACGCCAATTCATCAAACGGTCCGTCCTCGAATCACCTGACAGTGGTTACCTGAGGGAGGATTGTCTTAGGCTACGGTGCACGATTGGGGTCCTCGATTGCCCCTTTCCTATGGATCACCCCTTTCTCAGGGTCCCCACCCACAAAAAAGGTATGCTTTAAAAAAAAAAAAAAAAATTGTATGGTAAATAGGAATTAACCAATTAATTAATTTCGTGATATTTTTTATTGTTTTTATATGTGATTTGTTATGAATCCTTGACCTAGAAATTTGTGGCTGGCACCAATTCCTTTTCAGGCGGAGATCAATGCAAATCCCTCAAAGAGATATGGTCATCCTTGTTAAAGGAGGCGGTTCGGTGTAAGGAATCTGCTAGTGCTCTTCTACAACGGGTAACAGATCATTTTTTGCTGCTTTAATTTGAGAGAAGAGAGTTTTAAAAAGGGACACTAGTTAGTATGGCTTGGTTGTCAAGCTTCTAATCGCTTGGTTGTCGAGCTCTTCTAATCTTTGATTCCCGCATTGTTGTGCAGGAACTTTTGGCCAGTTCAATTTCAATTTCATCTGCTCCTCCTAAGGGGAAGCTATTGGAAAGTGTTATTTGGCGTCTGAGTGCAACTAAGTTGAAGCACAAGACGAAGGACGATTAGTGTAACTTAAGCTCGGTTGGTTCAGTATGATGACTGGTTCTTCAACTTTTTGTTTAAGTTTAGAGGTGAATTAGTATCAGGAAGTAGAAAAACCCCTGCTTCTTTGCAATAGGACACACAAACAAATAATGTACAAATAATATGTTTGTTTTTTTGGGGCTATTCAGCTGATATGCTTTTTCTAGTGTTGCTATGCCCCTTCATATTCTTTGAAACAATGTTGTTTAACTAATTTTCGGCGTTTTTTATGTGTTGGAGATTTTTTTCCTCAACTTCCCAAACTATGATTTTGTTGAACTTTTGTAGACAATAAAGTAGTTCCAATGTCGGCTAGTTTTATGTAGACATTGCACATTAGAGGCAAATTTGAATCTACTATGAGAAATGTTCTTTGAGATGACCATTTCTGGTGGTGATAAAAAATTAAGTCTCTTCGTCTTATTGTTGCAATGGTACTTTCTTTTTATTTTCCTTTATATTCTGAGATGTGGATGCATAACATAGCTGTATTGAATTGTGTTGTATAAACAGGTATGGTCGAATTTGTAGGATCGATTAAGGTTAATAGGGCACCAACATAGCTGTATGTGATATGGTGACAAGTGATCCATCGTCATTCTCACCTTGGAAAATCAATTAAATCATTTTTCGCGCTCAGATTATTGATCATAAGGATTATAAAGAATACTTGATCCATAGAGAATGTTTCTATATGCGGAATACCTTATTATCAATTTCCGGATCTCATCTCTATGAATGTTGACATGAACACGATCTCGATCACGAACATGTCCTCATATCATGAACGGGGTCGGTTTTATGGTCTTCCTCAACTAAAACGCTTTATTCCTAACATGAGACCGTCATTCTCAATTCCGATGGAAAAAAAAAAAAAAAAAAAAGAGAACTATGTTTGATTTAGTGTATTGAGGACCATAACCAAGAGAGTCTTTATGAGTAGGCCACTCATTATCACCTAATCCTAACAATATTAGGTATCCACTCAATCAACCCATACCAATTTATGTAGCCCATAAACTCTACTTTATTTAGATCACTTAATTGAGTTTATTAATTAATTGAATAACTAATACTCCCTCCTATTCATTATAAATGTCGTTTTGACTTTTTTGATTCATCTATTTTGTTATGTATCTAGACATATTAATATCTAGATACATAATAAAATGGATGAATCACAAAAGTCAAAACGACATTTATAATGAACAAGAGGTAGTATAATTGTATATAATATGTTGCCGGTAATATGATTATACATAGGAAATTAAATATTTCCTAACAGCAAGCTCTTATGCAATTGTTTTTGCAATGATTTTTTAACATTTACTACAGTATATGAAGACACGGGTTATAAAGAATAATCTCAACCCAGTTTGAAATGAAAGTCTAATGTTGTCCATCCCAAAAAATACAACTTCTTTAAAGTTGGTGAGTTTCCTTCATCACTGGAGAGTAATACTATTCACATATCCTGAGATCTATCCCAAAAAATATAACTTCTTTAAAGTTGGAGTAAGAAAATTGGGTAATTCTATTATCAGATTTGCCTCGTACCAGCTTCGTACCTACCTAACATTAGGTTCCACTTTAAAATCCTGCCACGTGTCCTCTTAATTAATTAATTACGAAAATAATTAAAAAACAAGCTTGTGTAAGTACTAAAGTACCCTTACTTAAAAAAAATTATAAACTAGAGTGTTTAACTATTATGATATTATTATTATACCCTAATAACATGTACATATTTTAATTAGGCCACGAATGAAAATTAAATTGCATTCTATCTTTTTTTTTTTTAAAGTTTAGATTAAATTTATAGTTTTCTGAAAACCTCGAATTAATTTTGTTTTCCATATTCGTATGGGGATTGCTATTCTAAAATGGTCCAACATGTCCTCGCAGATCACTATGTACAACGGAAATGTTTATCCAAAATTGCACGGGTTTTTTACCGCCGGTGTACAAAAAAGCCGCCGGACACCTGAACTCACACAGCCTTCGAGTAGATCGGAGCACGGAGGAAGAGAAATCT